ATATATCGCGTGCTCCCTTCCCAGAAACCGCAAATCCTGCTTACCGCTTGGCGAAAACTGCTTGCAATTGACGTTATGCACTTTTCAAGCAAGACTGACTGAAGCTCAGAGGAATGGAGTGAGCAGTGCAGCGCTTCATTCTCACAGCATGCGACACCGCAGATAGTTGAGGCCAAAAATCGCAAACATTCATGGCATCGACGCAAACACATTTGGCTCTAAAACGTTCCATGGCGTCAAATTGTATATGGTTCAAACTTCTTCAGATGAGATTTTTCTTGTAATGTCTTGTATGTGTAATTGAAACAGTCAACAGCATTAAGTAGTAATTGTTAAAAGCTGCCTACTCTTAGATCGCTACGAATAGGTCGAGCTGCGATGCTGAGTCGGGCTTGGTCGTGGAGCATTGCCCACGGATGTGCCAAACATGTGGAGAAGTCGTTGAACCAAGTGAGAAGCTTGTCTTGCTTTTGAATGTGTACGTAACTATGAAAATCGCAACCGCTTTTAAGGATATGACGTCCGTCGATTGCCTTCCGAGTTAAAGCCTATTGCATGGATGGTTGGAAGGTACGGCTAGTTTGTTTGAAGTAAAGCTCCACTGACTGGCCTTGATTCAAGCCGTTACCTAAAAATTTACTGGCACTCACTATGCCCCAATAAAACTCATTATGGCCTGATAAAGACGGTGATCGCTAGCAATATAACCGCTTACAGAATAATCGCACTCGAATTTCACTCTTTCTACGGACCACGACCTTTCCCTGTAAATTCCTCTCTACTCATTATTAACTAGCCAGTCCCATTTTCACTATCCGTGAATCAAGAGGTGCACGCGATAAAGAAACTGAATGACTGCCGATGCTGAATGTATCGAGCTAGGAATGGAACATATCTGCAATGACACGGGCCCAAAAACATCTCTGTGGCCTATGCGGATCCTGAGCAACCCCTCCGATTGGGCGCTATGGCGTCCCACTATTGCAGTTCACTTCCTAGTCTATAATGTAACCATCCTGCCCCTCCATCACTTGCTGTAACTAACGCCCCACTGTTATCCGCGCTAATTTGGCACTGCATTGTATAAAGCTTTTCCATACCATATTCTTCTCCAGAAACAATTTCTGATCGGCTTTGATAACGAAATAGGTTCATATGGCAGAGCCATGTCTTTTCCTTTTTCGCAAAACCTCAGGGAAAGTTCCGAGAAGTCTGTGAGTGGGAAAAACGCTCTTCGAATCCTATATGTTGAATTGCCCAAGGCACGGCACATCACTGGTTGGCGATTTTGGTCGACCACACCTCATTTTTTTAGGGGGCTGGTGCGACCCCCCCCCTCTCTGGTGTTCCCTACTCATCGCGCTGTCTAGCGGGAGGGGTGGAAGGGGAGGGGATAAATAGTACACATGATACAGGAAAAAAAATCACGGAAACTCAGGCAACCTTCTGAGGAAGGTCAGAGAGGAAAATACGACCTCCCCTCTCCCAATGACGAACAAATACGACCCTCCTCTCCCAACAAAGCCCCTTTAAACAAGAAAAATCAACTATCAGAACAAATTTCTCTGGGCCCTAATACGACCCCCTGTCTCGGCGACTAAATACGACCCCCCGTTAGGAATCCCCAAAACGATGTGCCCTGGTCCAACAATCGCAGTAACCTTGTGGATGCGCCCACTGAGAGGAAAAGCGAATGCTACTTTTTCTCTTGCTTTTTTTTCTCGTGGAAAGGCCCCACTTCTTTTCGACAAGAACTATTTTCAGACTCATCGTCACTTTGTTATTCAACTTTTTACAGGTGGAGATCTGAATTCGGAGGCAAGGCCTTCTTCCCTACTATACCAAAGTTCACCTATGGAGAACAGATCGACATCTCTATTAGCGACCTTTCCAACAAAGTGAAACCGGCTTTGAACTATACGTAAATGATCTTCCATCGACTATTTACAATTTACCAAATATACTCTAGTTCGCTGCAGACAAAGGGGTGTGCCCGGCATTATGGGCTTGGCGCGGTGCCAAACCCCTTCTCTGCCCGTTGTTGAAGCGGATATCCGATAACATTGGTAGAAAACGAGTGGTACGAACAATATGATACATTTCTGTCACTTGCTCGCTTCAACAACTAGTGGAGAACGGTTTGGCATCGCGCCGAACCGCGCTGAACTCATCTTTCTGACGCCCTTTGTCCGCAGCGAACCGTACTATAGCTAGTTCTTAAGATTTTTCGGATAAATTCGGATTTAGGGCTTTTGCATGGGACCTGAGCGTCCCCGAAACAGAGTTGATGGAGATCCATAGCGAAAACGGATATATCACCGTGAGCAAAGATAACAAAACGCATGAGGACGTAGTCTCACTAGTTACCGCAATGAGTAATGGTGAGTATCTAGCGTGTACTCTCTAGCTAGGCTGAGCTCTTTTGAGAACATGGCATTTCGTATCAATCAGAGGGGCAAAGGTACCTGAGAAGGTGCCAAACAGCGGAGCGGATTCGTTACGTCATGTTTTTTTTCTTGTCCGTCTTACATTGCCACTTGTCAAAAACTCATTGGGTATGCACGTGAAATCCTTATTTGGTAAGGGGGCCCACAGAGGGCATAATCGCTTGCTGCACGGCACAGCTCACCCTTAACCCCTCCCCGTTATATGGGAGGTCGGCTTTAAGGTGAAGCTGGTAGGCGAGGGCAAAGTGATTCCACCGTCCAGTCCTAGCCAGTTAAGGTGCTACGGCGCGGTTGAGGTTGTTGAATGTGTCCCAGTGAACTGAACTGACGCGTGGTAAGGTTACGGTACACTTAAGTTACGATCTCCCACTTGGTAGGCTCTTATTTGGACGATATCGTCGATAGTATCACTGTAGGGCACGATCTCTTGAGACATCATTGCGTGATGGTAAGGAGGGTATATGCGCAGAGAGAATCTTTGAGTTTCGCCGCAACGGTGCGTCTTTCGCTGCGACGTCGCGTCGCGTAATGACGACGATGTTCCGGTGTATTGGTAGAGACTAGACAGTGTGTAGTGTGTTCACGTGCGGAGCGGTTGAGCGATTGCAGGCCGGAATGAGTTTGTGCAAGGTGGCCAATCCGTCGATACACCAGTTGTTGAAGCAAGCAATGTGATGTGACCTATCATGGGCGTTCGTATTACTTTACTTTCTACCACTTTTTGTCGCACGCGTGCTTCAGCAAGGAGGCAGAGGACGATTTTGACGGCATGACACATTCATATTGCTTACTACGGGCGCCTAACCGTGCCGCGACGTAGAGTGTAAGGACGCAGGAATAGACTAGTCTACGCATTGTGCCCGTTGTCTACGAGAAATTCGATGCTTCAATCGAACAGGGTCAGCGCAAAATTGAGGAGACGTTAGATTCGCGTTAGTTGCCGATTACGCGTCGGAACGTAACTGTACGATTCTGCTTGGCCTCTCTAGAGGTCGAGGAGACGCACGCAGCGGTTTGGAGACGCCACTACATTCAACACAGATCCCCATCGCGGGAGTCATGAGTAACCATTTGATCCGTTTCTTCCCAGCTGCCAGCCGGGAATGTAAGGAAAGTGTTCTCGTCGGCCTTCTGTCAACATGTATCACGCTTGCGCTTTCAAGAATGTTTACAGACAAGTGTCGCTTATGAGGAGGACCTCTTGACAGACTACGAGAGAACAGAAACAATTGACTCTCATCAGTGACCTCTTTCGACACCAAATCTGAGCTTTATTCAACATTTAAGGAAGAGCATAAAGTCCAACTGTGATTTGGCCAATGACTTGTTGCATCGTAGGAAAAGCTGTCACTGGATTCGTGGCACCTGGCGGCATCGCTGCGTACAAAGCTATGAACTTGTCGTTCTTCGGGGGTCCTTTCTGCAAGTATCGAAGGTTTTCAGGTCCACTGATATCGAAGAGTTAAGCCTTACCCTTCGGATGATCTCGATTTTCTGCGACGCACCAGACTTGATGAACGAATAAACGGGCCTGAAGTTGTAGTCGGTGTTGTTGGAGGTTCGCAGCTTCACGACAAGGTCTGTCATGCCAGTGTTGATGAGTGTGAAGAGCTGAGTCTCGCCATTAGCGTCCAGCACAATTGATGGAGCGGATCCGATCAGAGACATCGACGCTAGTAAACTGAGACCTACTTCGATTCAGACCTTATATACTGACTGATGATTCGCTATCACAATCATTTTGCTGTTTGCCTTACTTTAGCTGCGTTCGCACTTTCACAAGCACCACTAGCACAAGTTGTCGAAAGTGAATATCGATCCAAAATCCACCTCCAGTCAGAGCGGGAGACGGGCAAGAGATTCGTAGTATGCCGCTCTGCCGCGCGCGGCGATGGGCCGAAGGTTCCTCAAGTGTTAACCTGTCGATTGGAGCACCGGACTTCATGTAGACCCGTCATCGTAGACATTCATGACTATTTTCGGTTCTGAATTGCCTGTTGTCGCCATCTACTACCTGGAACCATCGTCATTTGCGGTGCGACGTCGCACGCGACGCCCACCAGCGCGGTGAATTACGATTCTCTTGTCACATACCCAGTCAGAGCTACCCTGCTAGGGTGCACAATCAACCTTGAAGACAGACACTAACCTCCGAAGAC